GCGCATGCGCGTCCAGGGAGGCACGCTGTGCTTGACCTCAAGAGAGTTGGTGCTTCTTTCTTCTATAGGCACGACCGTGCTTGGCTATTTTCTTCGTCGGAAACATCTTCTAGGCGCGCACGGCGTGCCTGAATGCTGGGCTCGACCGTGCATGACCTTTTCTTCATTATTTTTCTTCGTTTCTTCTTTTAAATGCTCCTGAATGCTCCCGTGATCGATCCAAAGGTCTTTTCTTCATTGATTCTTCATCGTGAACCTCACGGAGACCTCCAGAACACTCGAATGCTCATCAACTCTTCTTGAATGCTCCTCAAGCGTCGGTGCCAGACTTTAATTTCCTGAATTTGATTCCAAAAATACCAATACTCGAACCAACGCCCGGTAAACATAACTTGAGTAAAAATTGAGACTTATGACACATAAAAGTTAGGAAAACCATGAAAAACCGATCCCAACACGCATCAAATGTGTATTGTAATACGAACTTATCAACCGCCCTCTTCGTCCCTTTGTGTGGCTGATAAGTCCATATTTTGATACACATTTGATGCGTGCTGATATTGACTTTTGATGGTTTTCCTAGGTTAAAGGTGTCATAAGTCTCATTTTTAGTTCAAGTCATATTTTACCGGGCGTTGGTGTGTGTTTTGTATTTTTGGAGTCCAAATCAAAGAGTTAAGCTTGACACCAGCATTTGAGAAGTAATCGAGAGAGTTGAGACGCATTTGAGAGTTGATTAGGAGCATTGGAGGTCAATGAGGTGTTAAAGACGAAGTTTTGAAGATAAAAGAGCTCTGGGATTGACTACGGGATCAAAAGAGCTTGAAAACAGCGGTCAGGATGACATTCTGTCAATCGTTCCAGCATATCTTTGTGTAGAGACATCCAAAGTGCACGATTCAAGTTCCATATGAAAAATAACTTCAAGGGTTACAAATCATATGCAGACACCGTGACGAGAATCCGAGAGGAGTAAGGTTAAAACAGACTAGGAAGTCGGATAATCGCTGTTGAGATTTCATGATGCGACCTTACACCATGTTATTCATATCTTTTAATTGGAGGCACGACGTGCCTCAGAAGCTGGGCACGCCGTGCCTGGATGCGGGATGACACGACAGGCTACTGCCAAGTGGGCACGCCGTGCTCGATGCCAGAGACGCGAACACTTTCAGGAGACATGGATGAGGGCACACCATGCCTGTGCACTGTGCTTGCGCCGAAATATCCTAATTTGGCCCAAATTCATCTGTTTTCTCTATTTAAAGACCCCAAACCCCCATTTTGAGAGGGGGGAGCTTAGAGAGAGGCCTAGACATGACTTTACATATATTTTTCCGCATTGTTCTTCAATACACTTGGATTATTTGTAAGTTCCAACTTTTTAGTTGATGACAATTAATTCTTTTCATCTCAATTCTATTGTTGATTCAATTATGAGTTGTGAGTAATTTTAATTAGGGATTTGAGGTTGATGAAGGGGTTGATCACGATGTATGGCTAGTTCTTTATGGATTGGTTGCATGAATCTTGATTTAATTTGTGTTTGAATGATTAATTGATATCTCTTGTAACCTGGAATGACCACTAGGATTATAAATGCTTGTAGAATAAATTAGAAGAGATCTAATTTATTCTAGGACACATTCACACACACTTAATCGTTCGCTAAGAGATTGAGGGGATGTACGCTCGCTCATTTTGGCAATAATTTAGATACTTGTCGCATGAGAGATCAGTCTGGTTCGTAAATAATTGTACTCTATGCCGCGAGCGCGGTAAGAACTTAGTATTGATTAGTGTTGCTTAATTAAATAATTTTCTTGTGATTAAGCCTGATCAGCCAGAAATCTGATTACCTCGAAGTCAATCCCTGTTCCCTTCTGTCATTAACTAGAAAGACTCAAGCTTTATTTTATTCGTTTAATTGCATTAGTTAATCTTTCAATCAATCAAATCTTGCACCATTGCATTTAATTTATTTTTAATTTTATCACTGAATTTAGTTAATACTTAATTCCTTTTTATCCGTCTCTGTGAAGACGATACTCGTACTTGCATCCTATATTACTAAAAATTTTAAGTGCGAGAAAATTCACTATTAGTGACTTTCGAGCCTCTTCTCCCCATAGAGATGGCACTCGGGTAGGTATCTTAACACCTTTGAACGTGGTTGGGTAATGGTGCTAGCTTGTACTGTTACGATGGAAAGTCGAAATCTGATCTGAGAAGTAGATCCTTAATAGTTGGATTATTATTGAGATATTACCCAAAATAGGACTAAAACAATTTGAAAATTCCAAAATAAGACTGTCATAATTGTAGTTCCAGACTTCAAACATGACAGTATTTTCTAAACATGGCAGTAATTAGTCCTATTTTGGGAATAAAAAACATGACAATCCTATTTTGGAATTTTGAAACTGTTTTAGTCATATTTTGGGAACTTTCCCTATTATTAATGACTTCTTTTCTTAGCATTTACGTTTATTAGTGGGATTGAAAGAGTAGCAGAGAATTGATACGGCAATATTCTATTTATGGTTGGTATTATTTTGTTTTGTTTCAACTTTATTTCTTACATAGCTCATATTTGATTATCAAAACCAATTCTATTTATGTTTTCTGAAGAATCAATTCTTATAATGTTAAGAAGATGGCAAAAAAGTATTTTTGAAGGCACCCCAATTTCCAATTTTACTCCTCATTTAGACAACAATTTTATCTCCAAAACTTGTAGAATTTTTCGTACTTCATAATTGTACAATACAAATAAATATAAAGAGTACTCTAAGACGACTCTAATCGTCCAAGCTATGTTATTTTGAAGCAAAGGCTGTTCTTCTCAATTTGATTCGATTTTGCTTTAATTCTGCCTGCCTTTTGATATACAATACGAACTACGAAGTACTAAATTTTAAATTTTCAAAATCATAATAATTTAATTTTTTTACTAATAAAGAATGAAAAATAATAATTTAATTTTTATTAATGGTCAAACTTATAAATTGACAAACGTGAAAAGTATATCGTTACAATAAAAAAGAATTAATAAATGCAGTTATTAACGTGATATGAATGGGTAACTTCTTTTTTTGTAAAGAGAGTGAGCCAAAAAAATTATTAATCCATGATTGTAAATAGTGTGGAAAAGTCATCGGAGGGATTATGATTTGTAAATGTCAAGTAAAGACGGTGCCAAACTGTTGGACCCACTTCTCCCTGCTGCTGCCGTAATCTTTTCGAGGTTGAAGAAAAACAAAAGAATATAAAACGGACAAATATATTTCTATTTTGCCTAGAATTTCACGAAAGCAACATCTTCGATCTATTCTCCCCAGAATTCTAATGTTGATGCATGTCCCCTTGTCCGAGTACACTTTAGAATAACCCACTTATTCTATGCTCCGTGCTTAACTGATTAAGTACTTGATTAATTGAATTAATCAACTTCTCTACATATATGGAATTGCGTATGCATCTTCTGTATAAAACTAAATTCTCTTAATTGATAATTAATTCAATTTTTAACAATTAAAATTTATATATTCGAAAACTACATTAAAATCTCTTCAAAGTTGCAAACTCCAAATTAAATATAATTAAATATTGACATTCTAATTAAGTGAATAAAATGAAACTGTTTGACAAAGAAAAGTTAATTTTGCAAATCAATTTGGACGGAGGTAATATTACATAATTAATAAATTTCAGATAAATTATAGTAGTACAAATTTAAATAACTGAAACATACATTGGTCCGGTTTCATGCTTCCTATGAACTAGAAAAGACGGTGAAAGTATGACTATTACTAAATTTATATTATTTAAAGGGGTTTTACAAGAATATTACTAAAATAAGTCATATTTACATAAATATGACTATTCATTACTACAATGTAGTGTTGTGGTAACTTAAGCTCAAAACTTGAACATGAATTACTATGATTTCATTACTACTCTAGTCATTAGTCATATTTTTGTAAATCATCTTTATTTTGGTCATATTTATCTAGTTATTTCATAATTAAACCATATGTCAGTTCGGTTCGGTCCAGTACCGGTTCCCATGTTATGAGAACCGGTCATGACATTGTTTAGAACCGGTATGGTCCGGTTCGGGACAAAAAAATTGAGATCCGTTTCAAACCCCATTTTTCGATCCGATACCATACCGGTTCGGTTCGGTACCATGCCGGTTCAGTATTTTTGCTCACCCCTAAAAAAACATGTGAATCCGATTTGAGAAAAATAATCACCATATGATTATTAATATTGTGTGTTTCCTAAAATATGACTTCCATCTTTTTCTTTCAGCATGCATGCATATACGATGTGACGTTTTGTTTTTCTTTATTAAGTTTCAGGTCATATATCAGGAAACGGTCATGCTTGAGCATACTGCATATGTTCTTAAATAAGTGCGACATTTTAAATTTTACATGTTTTACTTCAACTACGCTTTATTTATTAATGCATTAATAAATTATTTCTAAAAAATTATTATGAAAGTTGTCTCATTGTAATTTCTCAAAGTCACATTTTTATTTTTTTTAATAAAGAATTATATATATTAATGATCAAAGTTGTGTATCGACAAATGTGAAAAGTGAATTGTTGTACTTATACAAGAACGGAGATATTATATTTTATAGAAATTACTCCAAATAGGACTAAAACTATGGCAAAAACTCAAAATAGGACTGACTATGTTTTTCTTTTCAAAATAGGACTAAATTAGTCATATCGGAAACATACCTATTTTTTCCTTCCATTCTTACCCTTCTTTTAAATATGAGTTAATTAAATGTTTAATTCATAATAAATTCGAAAAAAATTCAAAAATTCATAGAAAAATAATTTAAAAATTTATACAATATTTATAAAATAAAAAATTAAAAAATATTTTTTTTAAATTTTTTTATTTTTTTTAAAAATTAATAAAAATTAGTAACACTCCATAAAAAAATTAAAAAAAAATTATGGATGCCTTTCCCACTGCGTGTACTACCTCCTTGAACCACCATCTCCGGATGGTGAAAAAATGTCATTTTTCCTAAAAGCTGCCATTTTTTCTGAAAATTCCAAAAACATTGCATATTTCTCTTTGAGAATGCCAACATTTTCATTTTTTTCTGCCATAAATATGGAATTCGTAATGAACTTGGCATTTTTTTCCCGGTGACTGGAGGTGGTGGTGCAGAGGCGGCAGAGGCGGCGGTGAATTTTATTTTATTTTTTTGAGTTTTTTATTTATTTATTTTATTTTTTTTTATTTTTTGAAAAAAATTTAATTAATTAATTATTGATATCGAAATATTATTATTATTTTTTTAGTATTTTTTATGATTTTTTTATTATTTTTTATTATTTTATTATGAATTAAAATATTTCAATAGCTAGAAGGGTATATTTGTCCAAAACACACATAATTAGTCCTATGAAAACATAGTTTAGGTTTTGGTCCTATTTGTGCAAAGTGGGTGACTTTTAGTCCTATTTTGATAATTAACCCTATATTTTAGGAGTTGTCATCAATTTTTTTAATCATATATAGGTATTTTTCTCATTAAAACTAATTAAACAACTTAATTGCAAGGCCAACTTATTATTATGTAATTATAATAAGTTGAAATACTCCTTAATTATAGGAGTATTTATGAAAGGGGATTTCATTGGGAATACTATATAATTATACTCCGTATTTAAAAATAGATGTTTTCCGGCCAGGCCAGCACTGCTTCAACATGCATGTTGTGAAGGATATTCTGCAATTAACGTTGTAAATATTTCTTTGTATAGGAGTACTCTTTGTCTCCTTGATACACTGCTATTTTATTGAAGTTTATATATATCAATCAGCTTAAACGATGGATGCACCGCAATTTCCTTTACGGAGTATATTTATTTTTTTAATGATAAGAAGAAGAACTACACGTGCTATAGAAGCGATTTTTCAAGATGATAATTATACTACGTATAATAGTTCAAACAGGACTTACACACTAGTTGGCGCTTGATTTCAATATGGTCAATCAAATTCGGAGTGATACACAATTTTTTTGGATAGGGGTAAAACGACAAAAGGACAGAAACCAGCAACCCTCGAATCAGACTTAGAATTGATCTCCTTCAAAAAAGCAATATGACTCGTTGATCGAGCATAAATGAGCCAACGCCGATTAAAGCAGACCTCCCATCATCCACTCCTAATGCAAGAATCTTACAACAATAAAAGTACCCAATAGAAAAATAAATAGCAAACAAACGGTAAATGTCATACGGAGTAATTCTTTTTTATTAACAAAGAAATATATGTGAATTTCGCTTTTATTTTCTTTTTACCATTTTTCATAATTATGGTAAGTCAAAACAAGATACTCCAGGTAATAATTCATGAAATCAAAACTTACTGTATCAAATGGTCAATTGTGTTGATCTAGTGTGATGGAGATGTGTGTATTAAACTATTACTCCGTAATAGTAATTCGTACCGCATTGGTCGCTCAATTGTTCCCAACTTCCAATTACTCGCGCTATACATGGCGTTGAACGGGTACGTATAATGAGCCCAAGTTCATATCTCACTTAAAATTAGTGGAAATATCCGGTTAAGCCCATTTTTTCCAAATGCATTTCATGTATGTTCCTTGATAATTTACATTTCATATTTAACTTTTATCTTGAGCCAAAGTACGAGTATTTATTTGAGGGTTTTCTCTCTAAAAAATAACTCAAATCACTCTCAAGACCTCATGCACCCTTACTTCTTCGTCCATCATTCTCACGATCACTTCGCCATCTGCTCTTCGCCGGCTGCATCCTTCGCCCTCCTCCGTTCTCCCTCCGCCATTTGTCCTACGCCCTTGCATATTTGGCTGCTCCGATGTGTATTTACTCCTCTCGTCCTGCGTCAGTTGCGCCCTGCGCACCTGCTTGTTTGGCTGCTCTGGTGTGTATTTAATCACTATATTTTCAATATGAGTTCATTTATTGTTTTGTTTGTAGCTTTTTGGGTTTAGATCGCAGATTTGTATTTGTGATACTGTTCATGTGCGATGAAATCTAGTATTTAGTCTTAATGTAAGCTCAAAGGACTTGTGTTGAGATATATTACCCCGACCTACCACTGTACAGGAGCCCGTGGCATTATTTGGTACGGAGCCCAATCAGTGAGGCTCGTTTCGGCCCATTTTTGGCCATCCGGCCCACCTTGGCCCAACGGGCCCATCTAGCCTCTTGGCCCATTAGGGTGGAGCACCCTCCCCTTTCCTCTATTAATAGGAGGACTCCCCTCCTTATTAAGGATCCCTCTTTGATCCCTTCTCCTCCTCCCTATCTCCTTAGCTAGTTTATACTCCATTATTGGAAGCTTGTACATTGTAATTGTGAGAAGAGCATTAATAAAATGAGAGGGCTCAGACATTAGTTTAACAGTCCCGTGGTTTTCTTCCTTTCCAGATTTCCAAGTAAAAACAGAGTGTTTATACCAAATTATATCTATATTTACTATATCGTGTTAGATTAAACTCAACACTGACACCGTCTGTGGGAATCTTGTTCAAAAAGATTCATGTGTTCTTGAGCTTGAACAACCAAAAATTCATACGAAGATCTGGATTTCAGCAAAGAAGGAAGAAAAATGAATAGATTTGGGGAAATCTGGGTTTTTTCCCAGTCTGGAGCCGGAGGCATCTATCACCCCTACCGCCGTGTACTGGTCTGGAGCTGGCTGTTCCGCTGGAGTCCGCTGCACCCGGTGGAAGTTCACCTCGACACCCCAGGCTTCGATAAACCACCGCTGGAGGTTTTAAACCGAACCTCACGAACCAAGCTCCTCTTGAAAATCTGCAGGGGCGGGATAGCACTCAGGGAGATGGAGAAGGAAGGAAATTGTGAATTCTAATAGAAATTGAAATCTGAATTGGAAGCAAGAACAAACGATTTACAGAGAGAGCAAATTCGTAATCTATGCAGATAGATTGCGGAGAAGAAGAATATTGAAAACCTAAAGATGATCATGGATGTCTTGCTGTTCATCTTGTCTGCAAACTGCTTGAATAGAGGATTTCCAAGTGACTTTGTGTAGATATCTGCAAGTTGATAAGTATTAGAGATATGTTCAAGTTTTATAAGACCAGAATTGATCTTTTCCCTAATTAAATGACAATCTAGTTCAATATGTTTTGTTCTTTGATGTTGAATAGGATTGTATGCTAAATGATAAGTAGATTTGTTATCAGTGTATAAGGTTATGGGTAAAGAATTTTTAATTTGTAAATCATGAAGTATATAAACTATCCATTGGGCCTCACAAACTGCATTTGCAGCTGCCCTGTATTCTGCTTCAGTAGAAGATCTACTGATTTCAGGTTGTTTCTTGGATTTCCAAGAAATTAAGGAATCTCCAAGATAAAAACAATACCCAGAAATACTTTTTCTGGTGTCAACACAAGAACCCCAGTCAGAATCTGTATAGGCTTGGATATTAAAAGAAGAATTGGAAGAATAAATCAGACCTTTACCTGGAGAGCTTTTAAGGTATCTAAGTACTCTATGAGCTGCAGCCATATGAATATTAGTAGGAGAGGATAAAAATTGACTCAATGTTTGAACAGAGTAAGCAATATCAGGTCTAGTGACAGTAAGGTATAATAATCTACCAATTAGAGTTCTATAGGTTTTAGGATCATTTAAAACAGTTCCATTGTGTTTTGAAAGTTTAAGTTTAGTATCCATAGGAGTGGAAAAAGGTTTTGAAGAAAGATAACCAAAATCAGAGAGTATGTCAAGAGTATATTTTCTTTGGTTTAGAATAATACCAGTTTTTGATCTAGCAATTTCTATTCCTAAAATATATTTCAATTTTCCAAGGTCTTTAATAGTAAATTTTTGATGTAAGAAGGATTTAATAGCATTAATTTCATTCATATCATTTCCTGCAAGAATTAAATCATCAAGATAAAGTAATATGACAGTAAAAGAGGTATTATTAACTTTAGTGAAAAGAGAAAAATCTGCTTGAGACTGTGTATAACCAGAAAGTTTCAAGGCTTCAGACAGTTTAAAATACCATTGTCTAGAGGCTTGTTTTAGACCATATATACTTTTAAGTAATTTACAAACACTATTATCATTGTTAGGCAAATAACCAGGAGAAGGTTCCATGTAAATATTTTCATTTAAGTCACCATGTAAGAATGCATTATTTACATCTAATTGATGTAAATGCCAATTTTTAGAACTGGTAATAGCAAGAAGAATTCTAACAGTAGTTAACTTTACAACAGGTGAAAAAGTATCAAAATAATCAAGTCCTTCTTCTTGAGTATAGCCTTTAGCAACAAGTCTAGCTTTATATTTGTCAAGAGATCCATCAGCTTTTAATTTTGTTTTGAAAATCCATTTACAACCAATAGTATGTTGATTAGAAGGAAGATCAACAAGAGTCCAGGTATTATTATGTTCAAGAGCTTTAATTTCATCATTCATGGCATTTTTCCATTCTGGAAAATTAATAGCTTGTTTGTAAGTTTTAGGTTCAGAAGTTTTAGAAAGAGAAGCAATAAAACAGTGATGAGAAGAATGTAAATTGTTATATGAGATGTAGTTCTGAATAGGATATCTAATCATATTACAAGAAGGTTTAGAATTATTAGGAAGAAGAGAATTGGGTAATTTGTAATCAAAATTTCTTAAATGAATATGGATAGATCTTACTCTTGTAGATTTTCTTTGAGTACTGTCTTCAGGAACATTTTCATGATTCTGAAAGGTATCTGTATGTAACATACTAGAAGAATCATCAGCATTAGAACTAATATTGTCAAACTGAAACAAATTAAATTCTTCATTTATTTGATTGTCTAAATAATTTGTGATAGTGGGAGCAATATGTGTATTATTATTTTCATTAACAGTTTGAGGAGCAGTATTAGAAATAGTGTTTAAGTAATCATTAATAGTATGATCATTATTTGTTTCAATAGAATCAGAAATAAAAATGTTGTCATAATGTGTAGTTTTATATGGAAAAGTCATTTCATAGAACTTAACATTTCTAGAAACAAAAGTTTTATGAGTGGTTAAATCATATAATTTGTATCCTTTAGAGCCTAGAGGATAACCAATGAAAATACATTTATGTGCTCTAGAATCAAATTTTGATCTATTTGAAGAAATAGTTGAAGCAAAAGCTAAACAACCAAAGACTTTTAAATGAGTATAATCTGGAACATGATTATAAAGCATTTCAAAAGGAGATTTATTATTTAGAATATTAGTTGGCAGTCTATTTATGGTATGCACAGCAGTAAGAATGCAATCAGACCAAAAAGTAAGAGGTAAACAGGATTGAAATAAAAGAGCTCTAGCAATTTGTAAAATATGTTGATGTTTTCTTTCAACCCTACCATTTTGTTGAGGTGTTTCAACACAAGATAGTTGATGCATAATCCCTTTTGAATTGTAAAATTCAGGAAAGATAAATTCAGTTCCATTATCTGTTCTAATAACTTTAATTTTCTTATGAAATTGAGTTTCAATGAAAGTATAAAAATTTAGCATATGAAATTTGACTTCAGATTTAGTTTTTAAAAGAAAAACCCAAGTACATCTAGTGTAATCATCAAGAATAGTTAAAAAATATTTGAAGCCAGTGTAAGAAGTAACTTTGTAAGGACCCCAAACATCCATATGAATTAAATCAAAAGGATTAGAAGCATGAGCAGTACTGATAGGAAAAGGCAGTTTCTTTTGTTTAGCAAAATGACAAATATCACAAGGAGAACAATGTTTTTCATTATTTGAAACATTACAATCAGGAAGCATGAAAAGTTTATTAAAGGGTAAATGTCCAAGTCTAAAATGCCAAAGAGTAGTAATAGAGACAGTATTTTGACTATCAACAGAGTAAGCAGTAGAAAAATGATCTAAAAATGAATCTGGATTATAGTAATAGAGGCCATTCCTTAGATCAGCAAAGCCAATCATTTTGCTGGTAAGGTGGTCCTGCAATATAGCACGGTTAGATGAAAAATAGACTGAGATATTATCATGACAAGTTAAACTTGAAATAGAAATAAGATTGAAAGTAAAGTTAGGAACATATAAAACATTATATAGAGTAAGATTTGAATTTAAAGTTATGTTACCAATTTTAGTGGCAGAAATGTATTTACCAGTAGGAAGTTGAATATTAATTGAAACATCTTTTGTTTGAGAAGTATAAAGGGAAGCATCATAGATCATATGATCAGATGCTCCTGTGTCAAGAATTCATTTATAAGAAGTAAAAGATGCTAAAGCAAAGTATTTACCTAGAAATTGTGAAGCATTGTTTGAAGAATTAAGACCATCTTCAGAAGCAGTGGTGACAGCATTAACAGAAGCAGTTTTAGGCTGTTGAGCTTGGATGAATTGCATGAACTTTTCATACAAGTTTGGATCACAGAATTCAGTGGTGGTAGAATTGGGGTTGTTTGAAGGTGGAGCAGATTCAGTATAATGTGTAGGAGTTAACTCAGGTTCAGTAGAGTTGGCAGCTAAATTAGCATGATGATTTTTATTGGAATTGAGATTAGGTTTAAAACCATGAGCAAGTCTTTGACCTTTAGGGCCTTTCCAGTTAGTTGGATAACCAATGAGTTGGAAACATTTATCAGAAGAGTGACCTTGATAGCCACAGTGATTGCAGATAATAGAACTTTTCTTTTTAAAATTCTTAACAAAGAAAGCTGTAGCATCATTATTAAGTTTTTCAGATACATAAGAATCTGAAAAAGAGTTTGTGAAAGAGATAGAAATCTGAAGAGTTCTTTGAGATTCTTCTTGAAGAAGAATAGAGTAAATACCAGATAGAGTGGTTTTATCAGTATTAAGAAGAATCTGACTACGCAGATTAGAATAGGATTCATTGAGGCCAACAAGAAATTTCAGAATAGACTCTTTTTGGATTATTTTTTGATAGGTTTCAGATATATTGCAAGTGCAATTGCCACAAGTACAAGAAGGAATGATTCTGAAATTACAGTATTCATCCCAGATTTCTTTAAAGGAATTATAGTAATAAGTGATTGTACGGGAACCTTGAGAAAGATTTCCTAGGGTTTTTTCAAGTTGAAAAGTCTAGGACCATCAATTTTACCATATCTAAGTTGAACCTCATCCCAGAGATCTTTAGCATTGGTAAAAGAGAGAAAGGTAGTTCTAAGAGTGGGAGAAATAGAGTATATGAGCCAGGATAAGAGAAGAGCATTAATACGATACCAGTGAGAGTACATTGAGTTATCTGTAGTCGGTTGAGCAAGTGATCCATCAAGGAAACCCATCTTGTTCTTCACCGCCATGGCCATGGTGACCGATTTCTTCCAAGCGCCAAAGTTCTCGCCAGTGAAGGTTTCGTAGATGATGCGAAGTCCCGCATGATCGCCCGGATGAAGGTAGTAAGGCGAAGATGAATCGTCAATGGGATTTATCTGCTGTGCCATCGAAGCTAGGGTTTGCGGAAGATGCAAACGAGAGAAAAAAAATACGAATCGATTGTAGAAATCGATTAGGAAGAAGATCGATAGAATCGATTTAATCAGTAAGGATCTAAACCTTAATCTGATACCATGTGAATTCTAATAGAAATTGAAATCTGAATTGGAAGCAAGAACAAACGATTTACAGAGAGAGCAAATTCGTAATCTATGAAGATAGATTGCGGAGAAGAAGAATATTGAAAACCTAAACCTATTACAGAGTTGGAATGATATTTATACTAATGGGCTAACTGTTGGAAGAAAGTAGTTGATGAGTATTATATTTGGGTGATTGTGTGTGGAAGAGAGAATTTTAGAGAGAGGTGATTTTAGAAGAACTTGGAACTTGTATTGATTTGGAGCTTTTGGCTTGCTTTACAAATGAGTGAGGAGTGCTCTATTTATAGGTCTCATAGGATCCTTCTAGGCACTCCTACTTCCTTAACCTTCTAGAATATTCTATAGGATTCTAGCTTAGGAATAATCTAGAATTGTTTAGGTACATTAACTACTCTAGATCTTTCTAAGTCTATCTTATGGGCTAGCTAATTTATTAATTATCATACAACTTCTAGCCCAATAAGTTAACATCTAATGGACCCAATTATTGGGCTAAGCCAAGTTTAATTTCTAACATCCCCTCTTAAACTTGACTTAGCAACACCAAGTAGATTTCGCATCTTTGCAAAGACATCATGCTTGAGTGGCTTTGTGAGAATATCAGCGACTTGGTCTTGAGTCTTCACATACTCTACTTGAACTTCCTTCTCCGCTATCTTTCCTCGAATGAAATGATATCGAGTGTCTATGTGCTTGCTTCGATCATGAAACACTGGATTCTTTGCTAATGCAATAGCTGACTTGTTGTCCACAAATATTGTTGTTGCTTCTTCTTGAGACATGCTGAGAGCTTGCAATATGTAGCGGAGCCAAATTGCATGACACACACTTGATGTTGCTGCAACGTACTCGGCTTCACAAGTGGATAGAGTGACGATCGGTTGCTTCTTTGAAACCCATGTGAAAGCGGTGTTTCCCATGTAGAATACGAACCCAGTTGTGCTCTTGCGGTCATCAATATCTCCACCCCAATCACTATCAGAATATCCAACCAGCTTAAACTCATCAGATGAAGAGTAAAACAACCCATATTCGGTGGTGCCTTTAAGATACCGCAAAATCCTTTTTGCAGCCTTCAAATGAGTTGTTGTGGGGGCCTCCATGAATCGACTAACAAGTCCAACACCGAAGAGAATATCTGGTCTTGTACATGTTAAGTATCTTAAGCTCCCCACAAGACTCTTAAAGTAAGTTGGATCAATCAATTTTCCTTTATCATACCTTGATAGTTTTAGTCCACTTTCAACAGGTGTACTTACAGGTTTAGAGTCTTCCATGTTGAACTTCTTGAGTACTTCTCTCGTGTATCCTTCTTGAGTGATGAATATACCATCATCCATTTGTTTCACCTCGATGCCAAGATAGTAACTCATAAGCCCAATGTCAGTCATCTCGAACTCCTTTGTCATGACTTGTTTAAATTCATCAAACATCGTCATGTTATTGCCTGTAAAGATGAGGTCGTCCACATATATGCACACGAGCAGTATGTCTCCTTGATGATTTTTCTTGATATATAGAGCATGTTCTTGCGGACATTTCACGAATCCATTAGCTTGGAAGTATTGATCAATTCTACTATTCCATGCTCTTGGTGCTTGTTTAAGCCCATAAAGAGCCTTACTTAGCCTCAACACTTTACCTTCTTGCCCTTTGACTTTGTAACCTTCGGGTTGCTCAATGTAGACTTCTTCTTCTAGGAACCCATTTAAGAATGCAGACTTGACATCCATTTGATGTATCTTCCACTTGTTGTGAGCCGCGAATGCAATTATCAATCTTATTGTTTCTAATCTAGCCACGGGCGCAAATACTTCTTCATAATCAATGCCATGTCTCTGGGCGTAGCCTTTGGCCACTAGTCTTGCCTTGTACTTCTCAACTTCTCCTTTTGCATTTTTCTTGATCTTAAATACCCATTTCACTCCAATTGCTTTATGTTTTGGTGGAAGTGTGGCAAGCTCCCATGTTTTATTCTTCACGATTGACTTGATCTCGTCATCCATTGCATCTCTCCATTTCTTGTTTCTTGTGGCTTCTTGAAAACTTAGTGGCTCACAATCACCAAATAGACAAAAGAGTGTAAGTTCATCATTTGAGTTCAAATTTTGTGTTACCTCGTAAAGTTCTTCAATGCTTCTCATGCGTGGTATTTCTCTTTCATCCGAACTTGGTGATGAAGCTTGAGCTTGAGTGGGAGATGGTGGAGGAGTTGTATTTTCATGATTTTCTTCAACTTCTTCTTCATATTCCATGGGAGGCAAGAGACTATAATCTTCTTTGTCACCAATGCTCCAATCCCATGAGCCTTCTTCATCAAACTCCACATCACGACTTATTATAAGCTTTTTCAAATCCGGATTGTAGAGTTTGTACCCTTTTGAGTGTTTATCATATCCAATGAATATAAACTTCTCACTCTTGTCGTCAAGTTTTGACCTAGTCTGATCGGGTACATGCGCATATGCAATGCATCCAAATACTCTCAAGTGTGAGACTCCAGGTTTACCTCCATGCCATGCTTCTTGTGGAGTTTTTCCATCGAGACTCTTCGTGGGGCAGCGATTTTGAAGATAGACAGCACAATCCACAGCTTCAGCCCAAAAATCTTTAGGCATATTCTTTGTTTTTAGCATGCTTCGAGCCATGTTGAGGATCGTCCTATTCTTTCTTTCGGCAACACCATTTTGTTGTGGTGTTCGTGGGACAGTCATGGGACGGCGGATGCCATTATCTTCACAAAATTGATTAAACTCCTTTGATGTGAACTCCCCACCCCGATCTGATCTCATGGCTTTGATACTGTACCCACTTTCTTTCTAAATAAGAGCTTTAAATTTCTTGAATGCTTCAAAGGCCTCAGATTTTTGTTTAAGGAAATATACCCATGTTTTTCTTGAGTAATCATCGATGAAAGTGAGAAAGTACTTACTTTTACCATGTGAACATGGAGTAATAGGACCACATAAGTCGGTATGGACTAACTCCAATGGTTCCTTAGCTCTTGAGGTAACTTCTTTAGGGAATGGTTTCCTTGATTGCTTCCCAAATAGGCAACCTTCGCATAGCTGATCAGGATGATTGATGAAGGGCAAGCCTTTCACCATGCCTTTGAATGATAGCATTTTCAAGCCACCAAAGTTTAAGTGCCCATATCTTAAGTGCCAAATCCATGACTCATCTTTCAAGCAACTTTTTAAGCATATGGCTTGATCTCTTTGAATGTCAAGCAAGAACATTCGGTTTCTAGTCATCGGCACTTTAGCAACTAGTCTTCCATTATTGTCTCGTAGAGAAAGACTACGATTCTTTAAGTGAATATCATAGTCCTTTTCTAAGAGTTGTCCCATACTTAGAATATTTGTTTTTAAGTTGGGCACATAGTAAACATCGGAAATGAATTGGTGACTTCCATCGTTTAGACGGATTAGAACGTTACCTTTACCATTCACCACGACTTTAGACTCATCTCCAAAAGTAACATGACCTTGAGTTTGTTCTACCTTCACGAACATGCTTTTATCTCCCGTCATGTGGTTGCTAGCTCCGGTATCTAAATACCACGTGCTCTTCTTTGTTTGTTCTTCATGATTTGCCATCAACAAGGTAAGTTCTACCTCATTATTCATCTCCATAAGATGGGCCTCTTCTTTCACATGATTAGAGCGCTTGCATTCATATGCATAGTGGCCATATTTATTGCAATTATGACACTTTAGTTGAGACTTCTCGTACCTTTGTGGTTTGCTTCCTCTCCCACGGCCTCTAGATGCTTGCGTATATTGAATTCTTTCTTCATTGTTGAAGTTTGTATAACCACGACCTCGACCACCTCTTCCACGTGCACCACGTCCTCGATCATAACCACGACCTCGTTGGCCTCTTTCTTCACCTCTATTCTCTCCTCTTTCTTTAAAAGAGAGTTTGGAGTAAAGAGAATGCTCCAATGATTCATCAGATTTATTTCTCACAACTCTTTCTTCATGGACTTGAAGTGAGCCCATAAGTTGATCAATGGTCATGGACTCTAAATCCTTGGACTCTTCTATGGCCACCACAATATAATCATAGTCTTTGGTGAGAGAGCGAAGGATTTTCTCAATCACCGTTATGTCCTTTAGTTCCTCACCATTCCTCTTCATCTCATTTACAATTACTAACACTCTAGAGAAATAGTCGGATATTGATTCCGAATATTTCATTTTAAGTTGTTCGAACTCACCTCTAAGAGTTTGAAGACGAATTCTCTTCACCTTGTCAACTCCCTTGAAAGAGTTATGTAGTATCTCCCATGCTTCTTTAGAAGTGGTGGCATTTGAAACCTTCTCGAACATGGCCTCGTCTAAGCATTGATATATGAGAGTGAGAGCTTGTTGATCCTTCCTCCTACTCTTTTGGAAACTATCCCTTTGGGATTGATTTAAAGTAGCATCATCTTGAGGTTCCTCATAACCTTTCTCAACAATCTCCCATGCATCTTGAGATCCAAGCAAGGCTTTCATGCGAATGCACCAACTAGAGTAGTTATCTTTAGTGAGACGAGGAAATTGGAATGGAACTAAGCCGTTGGAATTCATTTTTCTTGAAAGGATTGATGGCTCTGATACCACTTTGTTGGAAGAAAGTAGTTGATGAGTATTATATTTGGGTGATTGTGTGTGGAAGAGAGAATTTTAGAGAGAGGTGATTTTAGAAGAACTTGGAACTTGTATTGATTTGGAGCTTTTGGCTTGCTTTACAAATGAGTGAGGAGTGCTCTATTTATAGGTCTCATAGGATCCTTCTAGGCACTCCTACTTCCTTAACCTTCTAGAATATTCTATAGGATTCTAGCTTAGGAATAATCTAGAATTGTTTAGGTACATTAACTACTCTAGATCTTTCTAAGTCTATCTTATGGGCTAGCTAATTTATTAATTATCATACAACTTCTAGCCCAATAAGTTAACATCTAATGAACCCAATTATTGGGCTAAGCCAAGTTTAATTTCTAACACTAACAGGCTTAAAATAAATAAACAGTCCAATAGACCCAGAAATATAAAACAGTCCAAAATATATATTTAAGAGAAATCGTACTCAGAAAGACTAGGCCCTGACAGCCTTCTCCTCCGCCGCAATCGCTCACCCACTTCGTCGGTCGCCGGTCTCAGCTTGCCTCTTTTCTACTCCTGCAGCACCATCGCCTGGCGTAGCTCTCCCTCCATCGCAGGTGAACCTTGAGCCTGGTGGATTTCCGCCATTAATGGCGGTCCAGGGCTCAGCTCGCAAGTCTAGCAATAACGCCTGATGGGATGCTCTCTTGCTAGAGCCGTACAACATCGTGGGGATAAGGCCAAATGAAGAGCGACCAGTCCTTTGAGGAATTTTGACTTAGTCAAAATTGATGGGGTCACTGCGCCTCGATAATTGCTGGCCAAACGTCCTTCTCATAAAAGCTAAGTACCCATACTCTAAATTGGTACATTTAATTATCGATGCTATGGTGTAGTATTATTACTATGTTTATTTGTTATCACCATTATTTATTAGGGAATAAAATATCGTGAACTAAATAATGATCGAACCAAATGGTTGTGTTGGTTGGCTTGTGGCCCCACCCCGATCGGTTTTAATAAGCGATCGGACCGTACCTGAATGACATCTGGTAGAATAGTGTAGTTACTATTACCTATTATGACAATATTTTTTATTAAGGATCAAAATATCCCGAAATTAAATAATGGCGAGCGAAGCTCCAGGGATATCTTATTCCATCATTATTTCAGTATAAGGACTGTTTTAGTGGGCTCGTTGGCCTACTCTCGATCAGCTTTAATTGGCAATAGGAGTGTCTCCGACTGGCATTGCCCCAATGACGCGTTTCTTTTTAGGGTACACATGATCCCACACAGCACCAAGTGCTCAGCCGATGATCGTACCTCAGTCTCATCCACGCCGCCAAGCGTGAGGTGACGGTTTGCCAGTCGTGGCCCGCGGGGCCCGAGGTCACCGAGGCGCTTAACCTTTAGGAGAAAATGCACCTAACGTGGGGTTGAATTTACAATTTCATGGACTGATAGTTGTTTCTATGTGACGTTCGGCAACCCACTAAGTGGCCCTGCCATGGACGTTTGCATCAAAGAACCCCGCACGATGAGTCGAGCCGAAGCTCACGGTAACCTGCAGGCCGGTAATCGTAGTCGTTGAAAAAAAGAAGGGTGTGCGCATATGGTTATTTATATGTGTACATATATTGTTGGGCCGTGCAGCCCTGTTACCATGCTCTTTTTGCAGTTGAAGCCACTCGACACGTTCGAACAAAGCGGTTAAATGATGCTTGGCATGAATCCCGAAGACATTCAAGGCCGACTAAAAAAAAAATCACAAGTCGCACGTGGGCCATAATCTCGGATGACGACCGGCCCCCATCGTGATGTGTTTATCTCCCGAAGACCAGATTCCTCCCTGCCTCGCGCGGATGAGGATCGTTGCACGAATATTGGTGGATTCACCTACTTGAAGACCGGCCTCGTCCCCGCTCCTCGCAAGGATGAGGACCGTTGATTAATCATTTCAGATCGGCCCTAGTACCGACATCATTTCATGGCCACCGACCCCCTGGTACGGTGCCATTATCATATTTGAAGACCGGCCTCATCCCCGCTCCTCGCGGATGAGGACCTTTGATTGATTATTTTGGATTGGCCCCCAGTGCTAACATCATTTCATGGGCAGTGACCTCCTGGTACGGTGCCATTATCATATTTGAAGACCGGCCTCGTCCCCGCTCCTCGTGGATGAGGACCGTTGATTGATTCTTTCAGATCGGCCCCCAATGCCGATATCATCTCGTGGCCACCGACCCCTTGGTACGGTGCCATTATCATACATGTAGACCGGCCTCGTCCCCGCTCCTCACGGATGAGGACCGTTTATTGAGTCTTTCAGATTGGCCCCCAGTGCTGACATCATCATATGGCCACCGACCCCCTGGTACGGTGCCATCATCACATTTGAAGACCGGCCTCGTCTCCGCTCCTCGTGGATGAGGACCGTTGATTTATTCTTTCAGATCGGATCCCAGCGCTGACACTTTTATATAGCCACTGACCCCCTGGTACGGTGCCATCATCATATTCAAAGGCCCCTAAAAAAAAATAATAATAAAAAAGAAAAAAAGAGGGGCACCGGGGAATCCTCAAAAAATAAACCCGTTTCCCATCACAATCGCAACCTAGCTCCGCTCAGGATCCAAAGGACCGGGTTAAAGGGCGGGTAAGACGAGCGGATGGCGAAACGAAGATAAGCCCCCCAATACACACACACACACACACACACACATATATATATATATATATATATATATATACATATATATATATATATGGGTTGGGGAATCCCTAAAGGGGACAAACCCGTTCCTCACTGACTACGTTGGCTACGCTCGGCTCAGGATCCAAAGGACCAAGCAAAACGAGCGGGTACGACGATCGGATGATGAACAAAACAAAAGAATCCCAAGAAGGATCAAATAAAAGAAGGGAGAACTATTAAATAAGCCCTCGAACTTTCATAAAAAATGCAAATAAGCCCTTTTACAGAAGGCTTTGTACGGCTGTTGCCATTTGGGGCGGTTTCCGGTGAAATATTTTGATGAACTTTTTTGAGCATCTTATTCATTAAGTCTAGTTTTCCCATACTAAATTTCAGCTAAAAATTCAATCGAGAAGGCAGTCAAATGATTTTCTGAAATATACTGCGCTGCCTAACTGCGCAGTTATCTTCAAAAATTCATTTGACTGCTTTTCCGATTGAATTTTTATCTGAATTTTGGTATGAGTAAATTAGACTTAGTGAAAAAGATGCTCAAAACATTTCATCAAAAAAGTACACCGGAAACCAATCCAAATTGCGACGGCCGGACAGAACCTCCTATAAAAGGGCTTATTTGCACTTTTTATGAAAGTTCGAGGGCTTATTTGATAGTTCTTCCAATAAAAGAATCCCAAGAAGGATAAAATAAAAGAATCCAAAGAAGGATCAAACAAGGAAGAAGAGAAGGCCATTCTTCACCGACTACGTTGGCTACGCTCGGCTAAGGATCCAATGGACCGAGCTAAACGAACGGGTGCGACGAGCGGATGATGAAACGAAGAAATAATAGAATCCCAAGAATAATCAAATAAAAGAATCCCAAGAAGGATCAAACAAGGAAGCAAAGAAGGTCGTTCGTCACTAACTACGTTGGCTACGCTCGGCTCAGGATCCATAGGACCAGGCTAAACGAGCGGGTACGTCGAGCGGATGATGAAACGAAGAAATAAAAAAATCCCAAGAAGGATCAAATAAAAGAATCTCAAGAAGGATAAAAAAAGGAAGAAGAGAAGGCCGTTCGTCACTGACTACGTTGGCTACGCTCGGCTCAGGATCCAAAGGATCGGGCTAAACGAGCGGGTACGACGAGCGGATGATGAAACGAAGAAATAAAAGAATCCCAAGAAGGATCAAATCAAAGAATCCCAAGAAGGATCAAATAAAAGAATCCCAAGAAGGATCAAACAAGGAAGAAGAGAATGTCGTTCGTCACTGACTACGTTGGCTACGCTCGGCTCAAAATCCAAAGGACCAGGCTAAAAGAGCGGGTACGACGAGCGGATGATGAAACAAAGAAATAAAAGAATCCCAACAAGGATCAAACAAAAGAATCCCAAGAAGGATCACACAAGGAAGAAGAGAAATCCCTGAAGGGGAAAAAGCTGTTCCTCACCAAATCCGGAGATCTAACTGAAAGCTCAGGATCCAAAGGACCGGGCTAAAGGGCAGATACGACGAGCAGATGAGGACCACTATCTTATGCAGTACGATCGGCCCCTCAGTGCCATCGTATCCCGTTCACGGATCGGCTCATCCATACCTTCTCGGATGGCGACCACCGTCTTATGCAGTACGATCGGCCCCTCAGCGCCATCATATCCAGTTCACGGTCGGCTCGTCCATACCTTCTTGGATGACGACCACCATCTTATGCAGCACGATCGGCCCATCAGCACCATCGTGTCCAGTTTACGGTCGACTCGTCCATTCCTTCCAGGATGGCGACCACCGTCTCATGCAGCACGATTGGCCCCTCAGTGCCATCGTGTCCAGTTCACGGTCGGTTCGTACATTCCTTCTAGGGTGGCGACCACCGTCTTATGCAGCACGATCGGCCCCTCAGCGCCATTGTGTCCAGTTTACGGTCAGCTCGTCCATTCAGTCCAGGATGGTGACCACCGTCTTATGCAGCACGACCGGCCCCTAAGCGCCATCGTGTCATGTTCATGTTTGGGATCACTACTCCTTTCTAGGATGGGACCCGTCACAGTATATCATGCCTGATGCACCCTCCTTCATACATTGCACTCATACATTACATGCATTCACACATGCATGCATCACATCTCATATTTTCATACATACACACCTGCATTGTGTTTGTCTTATCCATATTTTTCGAGGCAGCTTGGTTCGGGCCTCTTAAGGTCCTCGGGTAGCAAACCCAGATTGTAGTCCTTTACTCCCGCCTCATACATTCAGGGGGAGAGGATCCGTGGAAGAGCGTCGCTTGCCCGATCCAGTCGAAAGGGGGAGCGCCTTACCGGCAGATTATATTCAGAGGGGCAGACACCCACCCATGCAGTAGGATTGCTTGAAGACTCAGGTCCAAGGAAGAGAAAAGAAGAGCGCGGGCAAGAATATACTTTCTCGAGCAGATTCACACGCTTGCTACTCAAGAAATTGGGGGACTTGTGTTGAGATATATTACCCCGACCTACCACTGTACAGGAGCCCGTGACATTATTTGGTACGGAGCCCAATCAGTGAGGCCCGTCTCGGCCCATTTTTGGCCATCTGGCCCACCTTGGCCCAACGGGCCCATCTGACCGCTTGGCCCATTAGGGTGGAGCACCCCTCCCCCTCTCCTCTATAAATAAGAGGACTCCCCTCCTTATTAAGGATCCCTCTTTGATCCCTTTTTCTCCTCTCTCTCTCTTTAGCTAGTTTATACTCCATTAATGGAAGCTTGTACATTGTAATGGTGAGGAGAGCATTAATAAAATGAGAGGGCTCGGACATTAGGCTAAACAGTCCCTTAGTTTTCTTCCTTTCCAGGTTTCCACGTAAAAACAAAATGTTCATACCAAATCTATATTTACTATATCGTATTGGATTAAACTCAACAATCATATTTGTCTTCTTAGATTCAACTTTATCTGATATTTCCAAATGTAGCGATAGCTTTTCTCACTGACCGGAATTTCTTTGAATTTTTGATTTTAAACTTTTAGTCTTATTCAAATTTCTTTTCTCTTTTAATATCTTTTTCTGGAAAATCATATTTATTGGTATTGAGACTTTCAGCCACTCAATCAGGGCATTGTCCGCGGAGCTAGAACTATTTCAATTTACAGATAAGTAAAGCTTGCTGAAATGGCTTCCATTGCATAAGCAGGCGCCTATAGTAGCCTTATATGCAAAATCAGGGTGGTTTCTGTGTGGGGTCTACAGTCTACATGTTCTTCCGTTGAAGGAAACTAGAAAATACCTCCTGCAGACTTCCTAAAACTGGAACTTCCACACTTGTGATGAGTAGATCATACTCCACTTCAAAGGAATCAAATATACTAGTACCAGAGTGCAATTTAGATTTGAATAGCAGCAATGATAAATCCCCTAAACAAGATAAGACACCTATTGGATACACAAGAAAGGATGTTCTTTTAATTAACTGGACTTGGACTCACAGTTGTTGGGTATGGCCTAAAAAGTGGATTGGATTTATTTGGTGTTCATTCACTACAAGCTGGAAATTTAGATCAACTGATCATGGTCTTGGGTCTAACAGTTGGATGGATCTCAACACACATCTCCAGGGTTTCAAACAAGGAATTAGTTTCTGCAACTTCATGTTCACTACATAACTTAGATTCAATTCTTGGCAAACTTTAACCATGTTTTACTCTATGCACTTGAAAGTAACATCATTGTTTAATGGTGTCACATTATCCTAGAAATATTTTGCTCGCTTAGAATTTTGGCCTGCAACACAGATTACTTAGGTCCCCTATCCCTAGGAGTAATAGATCTATGTAATACATTGGAATATTAGATTGAATTACTGAACTTTAATATATTGATTTTTGTTTCTTTTTGTTGTATTGAATGTGTTGTTTTTTGTTGCATCGTGTTGCTTTTTGTTGCTTATTCTTGTTTTATTGTGGATCTTGATTTTTGTTGTTTATTTAGTTTTTTATTTATCTTTGCTACTTCTTTGAAGTTAAAAAAATATAGATTTAAATTAAATCATCAAAAATAATAAATTTGAATTTATGAATGTAAACCAAGCACAGGAAACATAAAGAAACAATAAAAAACAAAAATTTCGAAGTTATCAACAAAATGAAACAATAGGCAACAAAAACAAACACCAAAATTATATATAGAGTAATAAGTATATATTGTTAAATATTGTAACTGTTTAAAAAATGAATTATAAGATTCTTATTTTAAATTTTTTTCAATGTTTAGTTTTATTTTATTTTACACAGGTTTTATGTCGAGTTTTATACTTTGCATGCTTTTTAGTTTAATTGAATTTTCTGCTTTTTATTTTTTATAAAGAAATTTCTATGTACAATTATTTTATAGCATTTAATATGATTTTTTATTTTTTCCCAAGTTTATATATTTACAGTTTTATATGCTTTTTACATAAAGTATGTTAAATTTTTTAAAGAATACATTACAAGAAAAAAGACTTTTTATTATTCTTTACAAATTTTCCCACTTTTTAACTATTTTGAAATTTTCGACTTTTTCCAATTTTGAGAATTATTTTATTCTTTAATTTGAGTTTTTTATTTGTTAGTCTTTTAGCACTTTTTCTCCTATTATTTTCACCATTTTTATTTTTATTATTCTTTTTAAAATTTTGTTTTGTAGTTACACTTTAAAAAAAAGTAGTGGTGCACTTTCAACTAATTTGTCAACGAAGGATTTTGAGGACGATGACATTCACTAGGCTAACTTGCAAGCCCACGCTTAAAAGGATCGGAGATTCAAACGCGTGTTTATATATTATTTATGGAAAATCATTTTAAAAAATGAATAAAAAATTATCCCTCAAAGTTTTCTCTAAAATTTGTTTTGTGTATGACTTTTTGGAAACAGAAAATCTTAAGCAAAATTGAAGCCTTTTTATAAGCCAACTATTGATATTGGGCAAGAGCATCCAAGTTTTGCAAGGAAGAGCCGCATGTGGTAAAGTGTGTAATTATATTCCACACGTGTATAAGGCCTACCGCTGCCTTGCTGACTGAGTCACCGTGATTAACCTCCTCATCATCCCGTCAGGTCGACGTGAGAGCCTTGAGATTGTGTTACTGCTTTTTTGCCCGGGTGTGTTACGAGTGAATATGGTACTTGCCAGCATGACTTAAGGATATAAATATATACTACGTACCAAGTATATTGTTAGTTTCGAATGAACATGTTTTATGAAGGGTGTTCATCTTTCTCTGACACGTGCCTTATATCACAATCGGTTACATAATGAACATTCAAAAATATAACAATTTTCTTCTTCTTCATTAGAACTCCAAAGTTCTTTAGAAATGAAAAGCCGTTCTATTCTTCGAGACAATTAAAAGCAAACAAAATTATTTATCTTAATTAGGCTTGGACTCGGGCCGGGTGGCCTGAACTGGTGGCCCGGCCAGGGATCGATCCGTGTAGGCTCGGCCTGGTGGTTTTACGGTGCGGGCTCGGGTCCCCCAAATGATGAACCGTCCCGGCTGGGCCCGGTTCCGAACCTTTTATTTTGTTTTTTCATTTTTTTTTTGTTTTTCTGGGTTGGGTTAGGTGTTTTGGGCCATTTGGGGTGGTTGAGGGGGGGGATTAGGGGATTAATTAGACAATTAAAAAAAGGAAGTGGCCCGAGGCCCGGCCCGGACCCGCCGGCCACCCGGGCCGGTTCCGGTTCACACATTTTCAAAAAAAAAAAGTCCGGCCGGGCTCAAGCCCGAACCGGAACCGGCCCGAATCCACCCATAATCTTAATGAGTAGGGGTGGGCATGGTTGGTTAACCAACTTTCCGGTTAATCGTGAAACCGGTTACTTCGGTTAACCGATACTTCGGTTAACGAAAGCTTCAGTTAACCACAAATCGGTTAACCGAAAACCATAACTGAAAATAATTTTCTAAACTCTATGATCATAATAAAAAATCCATAAGTAGATCAAGTTTTGGAGAAGATAATAGAAATACAAGAATACACATCTGTTAACAAATACATGACTGCATAGACTAGAACTGATATACGAAACAAATCTCCAATATAAAACTCTCGGTTTAAATCAAGTCTCGTAATTTATCTCCAAAGCAAAAAAATAAGCAGCTCAAGTCCACAACACGTCTTCAACTTCAAGATTTGTTTCATTTCTCTACAAAAATAAAAGTGACATATTAAAAGTTAGTAGTTGATAAAAAATGAATATCTATTGCATTGTTGTACATGAAATGAATAAAAACAGATAAAGTGATCGAAACACATAACTCTCTTAAAACAAACTAATAATTCTAGAAGCTAAACTCATTAGAAATCCACCTTCTGAAAATTTTTGAGACAATCTTTCTATATTTGTTCTTCTATCACAAGATGCACAACATAACTACTCCTCCCCAACTTCAAGAATTCCATCAACTTCTGTCCCCTTTTGGTGCATGTCAAAACCTTCTCATACTAACTTGCATGCAATTATACAAAGTATCAAGAAAAATGGACATAATTTTAATACAAAGCTAGTATATGGTGACGTGCAAAAATAAGCTGATTAATAGCGAAATGAAAATGGAAAATCACTGTTTTAAGCTTACCAATTACTAGTAAGGCTAAGGACATGGATATATTAAATGTGAATGCTATATATGAAATTAGTTTTTTCCTCACGCTTTTTAAAGTAGAGTATGGTGATACACTTCTACTTTTTCAAAAGTTGAATTTGGCATTCATTTAACCTTTTTGTCTAAAATTGTGTGCTCACTCATTTAAAAAAAACAGCCAACCAACATTTAAGAAAAAAACAGCCAACAAACTCTTTAAAAAAAAGTATACATTATGTGAGCAAGTTGAAACCCCCATCTGAAACTTTTGAAGTGAAAAGATTAAAGAACAGCTCAATTAGTTAGAACACAATTACTGATATGTGATGGTTCCTCAAAAGCTGTTTCTACTTGTATACAAATTGGTGTATCACCTTCACAAAACCAAAACCCCATTATTTAATGCATGCTAGGAAATAAAAGTTGCATATGTCCCTCTCAAACACAACATTACAACTAATAGGTACTGAAAACATGTTTTTCTGCACAAATGCGTACTAAGAACATACTTTCTGCACAGACAAGTGACCCACTCCAGATCTAAACTAGAAAGAAAAGGCATCACAAATTCACAACTAAATATTAAAATGCATCTAAAGACACAATCTAGGCTCAACAAATTAAAACTCCAACTAACTAAAACATTTTCAAATAGATACTGCTTCAAATCAATATAAATATTAAATATATATACCTGACTCATTCAACCAGGTCTCTTCAACAAGTGAAACAGTGTCTTCAATTTCAATGACGGGCAGCTCCAAAGTCAAGCTTTTCATACCTATTATTATTAAATAAAAAAGAAAAAATCAGATTAACATTCTTATTTCACTATACATACATAAGAATAAACTAACCTTCTTACATGTCCTCTAGTTCAAGCAAACTCTCCTCGACTGAAACATGAGTACGAGAAACACGTAGCCAGTCTTGTCCACAGACCAAAGCTTCCACCATTCGAGGCATCGAAGATGTGCTGAAAGAATCAAGAATGTGACATCTGGTGCTAAAAGCTGACTTTGAAGCCTATAGTTTAAATCTTCCGTGGAAGAACATCAATTTTTAAGCATCTCTGTGAACATAAATAGAAAGAACGCCGGGTAAATTCTGCTTGTATACAGGCTGAAACTCCATAATAGTTATGGAGTATAATATAAAATCACACAATAAACATTATAACATGCAGTTATATATGATCAAATAATCAATTAATTACTTGGATTTCATAGTAATTAATTACTTTGATTTCATAGTGATAAAACATCAACGCTTAAACTATAGGTCTGAGGGAGGTAGAATGCACTCCATCAAATAAGAATGGTAGAATCTACTAACACCTGATTATGACATTATAGATTGGTAGTTCTTGAGCATGATTAATGTGATATAAAATTGCCTAAAATATTCACAAAGACATTGTCTTGCTTGACTGGTTAGATCCAATGACTAAAAATAGATCAATGATTCAACTTGGAGCGGAAAATGGGTTATTCTGTGTGCAATGACATGAAGTTCAGAGAGGTGACATTTTTTTAAAAGAAAAACTATAGCAAAAGAAAGGGACATGCTAGCAATTTTCAAATAATGCTTCAGTAGCTAGTACCATAAAGAAGTATGAAATCAATTGTTATTCTGAAACAAAATAAACAGGTACCTACAAAGAATATTAGAAATTTCTGGACAATCAAACAAAATTCCAAAACAAAAAACGGGGATGGGTGAGTCATGAAAATGAATGACAGAGGCGAGATGAAGGCATAAATAAGCAGAGATGGACCGAAGGAGAATATATGTTGAGAACAGACCTTGTTGACTCACGATCAATCCTGGTAGCTTCAAACACGCAACAACATATGAAATTGGGTGAAGCAGAGCAGAAGAGATGGATCGCCTAGATTAAATCAGCAGTTCTAGAGGAAGATGGAAGAAGAAAGCATTGTTTTCTCTGGAACGGCTAGGTTAGACTTCGGTAAACCGATGCTAATCAATTCCAAAACGGTGAACCGACCGCCAAACCTTTTTTTTGTTGGGTCGGTTAACTGTACCATGAATTGTTTCAAAAAACGGTATGGTTAACCAGAAAAATAATGGTTATTCGGTTTTTTAAACGATTACGCGGTTACAGTTCTTTTTGCCCACCCATATTAATGAGACAACAAACATTTATTGGGCTCGATTTAATCCTTCAGTGTGCTTCGATTAATATTCTTCTTTATTTATGTATTTAGCGGATGCATAGAGTCATAGGGAAATCATAGAAATGACTAACTATATGCCTAGAACGGGGAATAATTAAGAAGATAGATTAGAGATGCAATATTTCAGACTTCCATTCAATATTGCAGGTAAGTAATCTTCTCGAAAAGAAATCAAAGATTTAAGAGGTTGATATATCCGTTCTTGATCATCCACTCCAAGCTCCAATGAACATTGACGTTCTTGAGTGTCCAATAGGCCCACCCAAAAGACGCACGACCAAATACCTTCAACTGGGCCACAACAAATCTCTGATAGTCCACCTTAGTTGCATTTGTAACACTCCATTCCGCAACCCATTCCCCGACAAAACTGAGAGGCCCATTTGATGTGGTCACAAGGCCCAGATCCCTCGATCGGTTGTTGGAAACAAAATTAATGTTTTGCTGGACAGTCATGTTGGTGAAAATGTCACTGAAGAGACTGTAGTAATGGACATCGATAACGGTCTCGTTCATTGCACTAGCGGCCTGGAAGAGCTCTGTCGGGTCCATAGGCCCAAGCCGATTGGACAGTATGACGTGCACCGTGCGAGAGTGATCTCGAATTGCCTCATAACCAGCTTTGTAGTACTGGGTCAACGTGTTTAGTGAGACGCCTGGTGCAAGGGGCTCGTTGATGAGCTCAACCGCATACAGACTTGGGTTCTTCGCATACCTAATAAGTAGCGAGGAAAGGGGGCAAATTGGACATAACATATTACTTAAATTAAAACACATTTTTATTTTAATCATACAAAAATAGTTATTTTTAATAAGAATCTTTATTGAAACAGGGCAAAAAAAAGAGTCTAAATTGAAACATACCTAGCGGTTAGGAAATTAATGACGGCTACTGTATTTCGAATGTTGTCCTGAGTTTTTCCCCATTCGAGTGAGCCATCTCTGGTGGCGCTATGCTCCCAACCATTTTGAGATCCTGGGGCAGCATGAAGATCAATTATAACCTTCACCTCGTATTTCCTGTACGGATATATCAAACATCAGTAAACCGATCAATCATGTTAAATGTGATAGATACTCCGTAATTGAAAATGCTATGAATTCAAAGAGATATTTCAAAAAACTCTTGAAAACGCAAATATGGGATTATGTTCGATTAGAAGGTGGTACGTGAAATCGAACCTCAATACATGCCTATCATATACGAGTAATACTTTTCCAACTTTTTTTGTACATAATCATATCATGGTCCAATAATAATTTTTAGCACGCCTCAATTTACCCCGACCTCAATTAACATGCCTAGGGATGATGCTAGTCTATTTTAGCCATTGAAATAGGATGCTTTTAATTGGAGTTAAAAATTTTGGTCTCATCTTTTTATACATGCTTTTATGGTGTGAATAATGGTATGTTTTATGTATATCTTCATATTGTTTAAATTTGGTAAAATTAGATGTAATTTGATATCGCCTATTGATCTATTTAAATCTAATTTGATCTCATAAGATATCGTTAAATGTGATTCGAAACCGTTTCAATATATATAGTATTACCCAAATTTGACATGGACTAGTTTACCTTGGACTAACATGCAATTCACATGGATCTTCCACATCCCAAAACCCGCAAACAATTAAACATTTAAACATTTATGAGGTTGGGTCGTGAGATCTTCCGAGCATGCGCAAAATTTTTCTTTATACAAAATTTTCACCTCCAAGAACAACGGAGACATAGTCACATAGTGTGTATCACGTACATCGGTAGATGTTAGGTTAGATTCTTTCGTTCTAAAACGATTTGTAAATTCACCTTTTCTTGATCAACACATTTTCATTTTATTTATTTATTTATTTATTTAGCATATCTGTTTCTGAACAAACAAATTGTAATTATTAAAATAGTTTTAAATATTTCCAAATTATTTATAAGGAGATTTGCAATTTTAGGATGTTTTTACTTGGACTGTAATTTGCTGGTCTGGTCTGGTCTGGTCTGAACTGGTCTGATGTGGTCTGGTTTCTTTGTATTTTTATAACTATCCAAGTCTGGTCTGGTCTGATCTGATCTGGTCTGGTCTGGGACGAATTACAGTCCAAGTAAAAACATCCTTAGTCCTATAACTTTCTGGTGTTATCGTTATTGGTCTCTGTAACTTTGATCGCTTGTAAATTTGGTCATGTAACTAATAATTCTTTGCAATTTAAGGATTTGCCCAGCGAAAAGATGCAGAAAAATCCGAATCCGGTAACATCTTTTTTGGGAAAAAGAACGTCCCTAAATCGCAAATATTATTTAGTTACAGGATCAAATTTGCAAGTGACTAACGTTACGGAATCAATAATGAAAACGGCATAAAGTTCCCTTATTTATAGGAACAAATTAACTTTATCTTCCATCAAATCTTAAAAACGGCAAAGAAGTATTTTAATACGTACAAAGCCCATAAGAAGGCATTGTCTAACGCCTTTAAGGATCCTCCAACAAAGGGCTTTGGAGGGGTTGGGTCGCTCGCGATCCACCAACCAACTGGAATCCTCACAGCATTCAGTCCATTGTTTGATATAAACTCGAAATCATTTTCCACTATGAATGTTTCCCAGTGTTCCTACACATTAATTAAATACGGAGTATATAAACATCGTCTCACAAGTTAGTCAAAAATATCATAGCTGAACCATTAACCATTATTCTATAACTCACCCTCACGTTGTCTTTCTTATCTGATTTGGTCTGATCTGTTCTAATATATTCTGTTTAAATCTGTTTAGATTGGACAGGTCTAGTGAACGTCTGTTCTATGTGTATTTACAACTTACGAAGTCTAATATGATCTGATTTGTTTAAGTATAATCAGATGTTGATTTAGTCATAGACCGAAACCAGTCCAATTAATTAATAATCTGAAAACATAAATTGTCCTATAATCCGATTCGTCACTCCTAGTATTAGTTACTCTTAAAGCAAAAATATGACAGTATAGTCACACGATTTTAGAAGTTTACTCTAATTTGAGGTACAATACTCCTATTTTAGAATTTCATATTGTTTTCCAATCACGTTTTAACTTCATCAACCTTTTGGAATTTTTTATGTGGGTCCTTACTCATTATAATTAGTATGTGTTAAGCAATGTGTAGAATAACGTTAAAATGCAAATATTTTGAACAGTTAATATGCAATACAAATAACATAAAAATGCATTATACAAATATTTGCACAATAATCACAATTTATGTACCTGATCTGCCCCTATCTATATATTCACTAATTATTGAACTCATTGTTTTAACATGAGAAGGACGTCCAAAATACATTAAAATATTTATAAATTTATAATTACGGAGTAATAAGCAAGTAAAGAGTAGTACCCATTCTCATTGGTTACCAATAAACAGGCCCCACCTGAACATTTTATGGGCCCGGGATACGAATATAGTAGGCTTATAACATGAAAATGTTTTGAATTTTTTTATGAAAAAAAGCCTCTAAATAAAATTAAGCAATTTTATCTTCCAAATACAAGTAACACATCAAAGAAAGTAATAAAGCAAATGGTTAGACAATTTATATTTAAGTATTCAATAAGTTACACTCGAGAATATAATGCACCCAAATTGACCAAATGAAATAAGTAGTACAACTATTACCTTCAATAAAGAATTTTGAATCAGGGAAAAACGCGAAAAGTATATCATATTATTCGTATAAGGAGTATCTTTTTCATATTTCACATCACATTCTAAAAGAAATTGTAAATTTCTAAATTCTAAATACTATAATTCAATCTTTCACTTACATGAGAGAACAAAAATAAATTAGTGAAATACTATCAATGAATCATGAGTATAAATGAGAGAAATAGACCAAAAGAAATGGTGAAGCATGTTTCGAAGAAATTCTGATGTGAATGTTTCAAAATTCAAGACTTGTAGCCGGTAGATGTTGTTGAATAAAATTGAAAACGACAAAATATTGTAAGTATGAGTTTATATTACAATTTTTATAGAGTATATAATGAATATATAAATAAAATATATATGCATATATATAATTGAGAAATTTATGGGTCCTAGTGGAACAATGGGACTTGGGCGCATGCATGCCCAGTTGCCCATGCCCCAGAACCGGCCTGCAAATAAATACTCTATGTAGATATTGTTGTTTATTCAATGCGAACATCCTAATAGGTCCATGTGGACAAAATGTCTTAGAGAGAATTCCTCAAATAGGAGTAAAACATAGACAAAATGCAAAAATAGAAGTACCATATTTTGAATAGAAGTAATTTTAGTATTTGGACCAGGATACCCCTACCCAAACCTCATGCCCCAACAACTTTCATTAATAATTAAAACATAAAATAAATACTCCCTACGATTAATTATTTTATAATAAAATTGTAAAAAATACAAAAAATATCAAATAAAATATACTCCGTATTAAATAAAATAAAAAATTATTAAAATAAAAAAATAAAAAAAATAAAATAAAAAAAAATATGAAAAAAATATGAAAAAAATATATAAAAAAATGTAGACGTCTGTTGCCGCCTCAACAACCTCCCAGCACCACCAGCTCCGATCACCGGAAAAAATGCCAACATTTTCCCGAAATGCCATCAAGAAGGCAGATTTTGAGAAAATTTGGCATTTGCAAAGAGTAAAACTGCCATCTTTATGGCATTTTTTAAAGAAAATAGCAGTTTTTACATAAAATGGCATTTTTTCGCCGATCGGAGGTGTCATTGTTGGGTGATGAACGAGGTTGCGGGAAAGGCCTGCATAATTTTCTTATATTTTTTTAATACAATTTATCTATTATTTATTTATTTTTAATGTTTTTTATTTTTACAAAAACAATTTTTTTAATATTTAATATTTTAATATTGTTGGGATGAACTTAGATTATTTTTGAAATTAAATGGCATCCATAAATGTATCGTTTCCAGTGAATGAACATAGATTTTTTTAATAGGATCAAATAAGTGATATTTTAGAATTAACTACGTTGGGGATATTAAGGGTACAAAATTAATGTTTACTCCTATTGAAGGAAGTTTTAAGTTTTACTCCTATTTGTGCAATTATGTTTACGTTTACTCCTATATTAGACAATTTCTAAATGTCTTACGTTAAAGGAACCATAGACTTTGTCTTTATTAATGTGTAGAAAGGAATTACTCATATTTTGTCGAAATATGAGTGACTGTTTTCACATTTAGAAATTGTTGTCAATTATCATATTATAAAACAATAAAATAAAACAATAAAATTGTTGTCAATTATCGTATTTTCATAAATAAAGTCCCATAATGTCAAAATAAAACAATAAAATTTTAGAATAAAACTATTTTTCCCATTTAAGGAAAACACAGTATTTTTATTTTAAAATTTTGTATTGTTTTTATCCCTATATTGGGATTTTCCCCTTTAAATGATTTAGTGTCGGGTCGGAAGTCTTAACTAATTTGACATGAACAAAAAGCCCACAGTGAACAGTATAATTTCATACTCCGTTCAATTTGAAGTCAATTTGATTTCTGAAAAAGGAAATTATTTATGTTGAATAAGAGTTAGGAAAATCGCGCACCATGCTTTATAAGTTACTAATAAATACGATATTATGTAGATATTGTGAATTAATTAAATGTTGCAGCGCAAAAATATGATTTACGTTTATATTGCATAACTATTTGCAAAATTTAATGAATTAAATAATAAGCATAAAAGAGAAATTAACAATTATTGTTAGAAGCTAATTAAAAAGTGTCACGTAAAAAAATACGGAGTAGATATGAATTATTATACGGAGTACTTTTTTACCTGCATAACTTTTGGAGCATGTAGTGGTCCGTAACCATTTGTAATTTGAAACTCTCCTCGTAAATCTACACTATTTGTCATGATAAAAAGTGAGGGATTCTCGTCACCCCAATCCTCTTCCCCCGCAGCTTTATAGTCCGCGCTAACATGATCTGCTGTTTTGGCCTACAACTCTTTTGACAAATATTTATGGAATTCATTCATGTATTTGTTTATATGTTATTTGATCATATAAAAAGAATCACTTGTAAAACCAAGACTGAATTAGATTTAAAACATGTTTTATCAGCTTTGAAACGTACGTGTAGTATTTGAAACTTAAAGTGTAATTTAAAAAAGAAAGAATTTGTCTTTGCATCTCATTTTTCGTGTAATATTTGACTTTACTACATATCTTAAAAATCATTAATGTATGCACTCAATTCACTATAAGTCATTTGACTTTGAACTTCCACTCCTTCACAATGTTTGGACCGATGAGATGCACACATTAATGATTTTAAGAATGAGACTCAATATCACTCAAAAAATGGGGCGTAAGAATCTGACCTGTAAGAAAAATCCATTGGATGCCTTGATACGAACTCGGGTGGGATCAAGAGGGCTCCTTAAAATGTGAAAGGTCTCTGATAGTGATATTCCGGTTGAATTCTGTACGGCCACAATGTCTACTCCACCCTTGTTGCTTTTGTCCAATCCCACGAATTGGTTATTGAACACCCTTAAGTTGAAGGTTGTCTCGTTGATCCTCCACAACTACAACATTAAATTCCGTTTACAACACAAATTGAATTAACAATAATTAAACTTGTTGTGTCAAGAATGACTGTTTTATAATACGTACTAAACAATTATTAACAATATATGAGCAAGAATTTCTAATATCTAAAACATGTCAATTCATACACTTTAAATTCTTTGAACGGTTAAACACGTACAACAAAACGCAGTTTTATTTTTCATTTTGTAACCAGGCAGTTCATTTCCATCATTTGCAATGGAGCCAGATATTCATTATTTTTGGCTTGACATTACGATGGAATAAAGCAAAATGGCTCACTAAACTGTCTGCGCTTCTTTGTTATGAAGCAACAGTCAGTCCATGCAATTTTGGACGCGATTTTCACTATGAGTCATCCGGAAACGGTCTTTTTGTTCTTTAGTACAAGAGTAAGACGGCGTATATCTAACTTCCTTACCCCACCGTAAGTGATAGCCTTTGCGGCACTGGGTAAATGAAAATGAAATGAAAATGAAACCATCGAGTTCCGTTTCTATGTGTAGTCAATTGGATCGGACCTTTAAATTTTTCATCATACCCATTTTGTTTTGTTTTTGTCGATTCACCCTACTTGTCAAGGTGATCATGATAGAGGGTGACTTTTATGCTCTTAATTAATGCGACTTCTGTGCCAAATAATTCAACGTTTTGAGTACTTTATATTTGCAATTTGTTTGGGGTAATTAAGATGAACAAATATTAAAATAATATTTATAGTTGAATTGGATTTAACTTCGAATCAGTTTAAAAACACTAGATTACAACTTAAAGAAGAGTTGAATTCACATAAAACATACACATGAAATTAGACCAACTCATCATCCAAAAAAAATTGCAATCAAATTAAAAACATGGTCTTAAAACAGGTCGCCGGTTTGTAACATCTGATGGAATTTGATTTTGTAGAGTTTTCAAATCCATGGACTTGTTGTAACAAGAATGGATTCGAGTACAAATGAAAAGGTAGGCAAAATTGTAGAGTGAAGTAGCAGCTTAGCTTACTCGAAAAGTTTCCCAGCCAGAAGCGGCTGTTCTGTTGGCAACCAAGATGGTTCCTCCGCCGGACTCGGCGCTGACATACTTCCCGATGGTCACGGACTTCAACTGAATTTTTGTGCCATCCTGTACACAATATTGACTGATAAGTAAATAAATAAGCCGCTAGCAGTAGTACATGTAACCGAGTAAAGAATGGAATATACGGAGTACATAAATACAATTATATTACTTGGTTTGAAAAATCAAATATAAATGATAAATAAAAGTAGGAAGGGATCGGACGAGAAGGTCATTGTTGGGAATGGCGTGAAAGAGTGAAGGTTTGATCCATCCTTCAGTGACAAGCCAACCTCCCAGATTCACTGCCCGAACTGCAGCAGGGGATGATGATGCGACGAATGGGTGTACGGAGCAGCAGCAGGCGATGATAAGAATTAGAAAAGATGATGATGCTGTAGCCATGTATCTCGTGGAGGTAGATCAGAGTGCGCACATATATAGGAAAAAGAAAGGTGAAATTCCAGGAGTTAATTATCAAAATAGGACTAAAAGTCATTCACTTTTCACAAATAGGACCAAAAAATAAACTGTGTTTGCATAGGACTAAATATGTGTACCTTGGACAATTATACCCTTATAGCTATTAAAATGCTTTAATTCCTAATAAAATAATAAAAAATAATAAAAATTCATAAAAAATATTAAAAAATTAAGAAAAACATTTCGATAATAAAAATTTAATTAATTTTTTTTTCAAAAAATTAAAAAAATTAAAAAAAAAATAAAATAAAAAACTCAAAAAAAAAAATCGCCGCCGCCTCAGCCGCCTCAGCACCACCACCTCCAGTCACCAGGGGAAAAATGCCAAGTTCATTACGAATGCCTTATTTATGGCAGAAAAAAATGAAAATGTTGGCATTCGAAAAGAGAAATATGCCACTTTTTTGGCATTTTCAGAAAAAAATGGAATTTTTCTGGGAAAATGACATTTTTTTTCATCGGCCGGAGGTGGTGGTGCTGGGAGGTAGTACAGGCGGTGGGAAAGGTATCCATATTTTTTTAAATTTTTTTTACGGAGTTTTACTATTTTTTTAATTTGTTTAAAAATAAAATTATTTTTAAAAAAAAAAGTTTTTGAATTTTTTATTTTATAGAAATTTTATAAATTTTTTTATTATATTTCTACGAATTTTTGAATTTTTTTCGAATTTATTATGAATTAAACATTTAATTATGGCTTTTGACTATTTTTAATTCATATTTAATAGAAGGGTAAGAATGGAATGCAAAAATAGGTATGTTTCAAATAGGACTCATATGGTCCTATTTTGAAATAAAAACATAACAACTCCTATTTTAGGTTTTTGCCATAGTTTTAGTTCTATTTGAACTAATTTCTAAAATTCCAGAGTTCAATTTTTTTTTATGGGCGCATGGAGATCGATACGGAAGGCTGGTGCGGCGGGCCTCTAAGAAAAATTCATGATGCATGTATGTATCTATATATGATGATTCTTCATGTCACACCCGTCTAAACGGGCGGCTGTCCATTTACGGCACTTCCAAGTGGAATTTTTTGATAAGAAATTTTCGGGACATGTTCTAATGATCTACATCAAGTCTAGTTTATCTACACAAAAATTAAGCAAAAATTCAATCTGGAAGGCCGTTAAATGATTTTTGGAAGATAACTGCGGCCAAAATATACATATAAAACGCAGTTAACTTTCAAAACTTATTTGACGGCCTTCCCGATTGAATTTTAAGCTAAATTGTTTTGTGGATCAACTATACTTGATAAAGAACATGTCATAAAACTTTCATCAAAAAAGTCGATCGGGAAGAGGCCATGCCTACTTGGTGACGATGTGCTCAAATAATTTTGTAAAAAATTTCCACCGAGAAGAATCTATATAAATATTTATAAGCCATAAAACTATAATGAAATTTAAAGTTTTTGCCCCTTATTATAAGTTTCTTAAAGCCCCAGCTCCCCTAACATGTCGTTTCAGACCCGTCACTATACACAACTCTTTGTACTCGATATAATTAAAACTAATCACATGGACAATTAAAATAAATCACCCAAATAATTAAAAATGACAATTTCGAGAATTTTATTCAATAGTTGAGATATTTTGAGATAATTGATACTTTGCGACAATGGCCAAAGATGTGGTCATACTCATCCAAATTAGGCATGGACTCAGGCAGGCAGGTCCGGGCCTGATCGGGCTTTTTTCTAGATTCTTGAGGCCCAGAACTGGCCCGGGTAGCCACCGTAACAGTACTGATAAGTTCGTATTTCAACACGCTCTTAATGCGTGTTGGAGTTAGATTTTGATGGTTTCCCTCGCTTTGAGGCGTCATAAGTATCATATTTAGCTCAAGTCATGTTAGTTGGGTGTTGGAACGAGTTTTGGTATTTTTAGATTTGTAATCACGTCTTTTAGGGCCCGGTATCGGCGCATTAAGGATTGATCAAGATGAGTTGAGGAGTGTTCGAGAATGAATTCAGAGTTTTGAAGGGCACCACGAGATTCACGATGAAGATTCAATGAAGAAAGAGCTGTTCGATTGATCGCGGGGCCAAACAGGGACTTGAATGGGAGAAAACGAAGAATTCGGAAGAGAAAGGGCTACGCACGGCCGTGCGTGCAAGGACGCACGACTTGAATGGGAGAAAACGAAGAATTCGGAAGAGAAAGGGCTACGCACGGCCGTGCGTGCAAGGACGCACACGTGCGTGGCTAGGGACGCACGCGTGTGTCCCCCTTTTTACGCGTTTCTCTGTCGGACGCACGGACGCAACGCACGCGTGCGTAGGCGCCGTGCTTACCTAATTTGTTTCCTAATTTAGCCCAAATTACTATGTTTCCTTTAAATATCACCCCCTTAACCCTAATTAGGGGGGATGGAACTTTAGAGAGAGATTAAGGACGAGATTAGAGAGCTTTTTCAGCCAGGTTTTTCAATTCCTTAACATTCTTTGTAAATTCCTACTTTTTGATTAATGACAATTAATTCTATTTAACCCAATTCTATTGATTCTTCAATTATGAATAGGGAGTAAATTTAATTAGGGATTTGGGGTTGATGAAGGGGTTAATCATGATGTATGGTTAGGTTCTTGATGGTGTAAATTGCATGAATGCCGTTTAATTTGTGTTTGAATAATTTAATTGATATCTTTTGTAACCTAGAATGGCCACTAGAATTACAATTGCATATAGAATAAATTAAGAGAGATCTAATTTGTTCTAGGACACATTCACACACTTAATTGTTCGCTAAGAGATTAGTAGCGATTAAGGGGCCGTAAGCTCGTTCATCTTGGCAATAATTTAGGATCCTGTCGCATGAGAGATCAGCCTGGTCCCCTAAATTATTGTACTCTACGCTGCGAGAGCGGTAAGAACTTAGTATTGATTAGCTAGGCTCAATTAAATTCATGTAATTAAGCCTGATGTGCCAGAAATCTGATTACCCCGGAATCAATCCATGTTCCCTTCGTTGTTAATTAAGAAGAACCCAATTATTTACTTTTAGTCGTTTATTTGCAATTTTAGTTTTCTCAAGCAACCAAATCTCGCACGACCGCATTTGTTTTATTTATTTTTATCGCTGATTTTAGTTAATTCTTAATTCCCTTTTACCGTCCCTGTGGAGACGATACTCGTACTTTCACCGCTATATTACAATCTTTTTAAGTGCGAGAAAAATTAACATCAAGTACCGGGTCGGGTGACCCAAACCGGATTATGAACCGGGTATCGGGCTGGGCCGGTTCAAAACAGTACCGGGCCCGGGCCGGTTTACCCGGGCCGGTTTACCCGGCCCGAGTCCATCCCTAATCCAAATACAATGGAGGTTTTGTGTTCACCTCCTCCCCTTCGTCCTCTTAAGCTGGAAAGCCTTCGTAAGTGTCCTCCACGCAGTCAGACCCCCACTTCTTCCGTATTGCTCATCCAGAGTTGGTTTCCGACGAACTCCGCCCTCGTTGGTCAGACTCAACATCATCCTCGTCTGAGACAACTTCTGCTGAGGGTTTGTTTACCATATGAGAAGGAAGTGCGACATGCACGTTTAGATGTAGGGTTTCATCATCACGACAGTTTGATTCAGGAGCTAGGGTTTCATCATCCCGCGGATGAATTTCAGGGTCGAGAGTGTTGTTCGTGTTCTCCATGGATGAGAAAGGGGAGAGAGTGGAGAGGTGAAGAAGCTTCTGGATAGAAGAGAGAGATAATGGCGTGCGGTATAAACGAGGGGTTGGAGTAAATGGGGCACAGAACATGCAGAGGAAGGAGGGATATGGGTGGGGGGCGCATTTATGACTTTTTGGCTTTAAAAACTTTTCTTTTATGGAAATAAGAGGTTAATTTTGGGACATCCATTTAAGGAAAGAGGAAAGTTGTGTTTGGGAAAAGAGCTCGCAAGACTCCAAGATCGTCTAACAAAGAGAGAATGAAGATCCGAGCGGAGGGAGTATAAAATAGAAGCAAAAAGGTTTGGAAAATAAATTAAGTTAGTATAAGAGAAAACTTTATCTCCTGAACTATCACAAGTTCAGGAGAAATCTGGTGGCTTCGTACCAGAGACGCTCCAACTCTGGTGGGGGTGCTCTGCTGGCTTCGCATCAGAGTTGCTCCAACTCTGGTGGAGGTATTCTCGTAGCATCAGAGTTGCTCCAACTCTTATGGGGGTATTCTGATCGCGCACCAGAACTGCTCCAAGCTGTTACAGCCATTAAATGCCAAACGTTCTTGTCTTTTAATGCAACGTTAAATGGACAGTTTATGGATGATTCAATGCCCAACGGACTGGTCATTGATGTCCAACGTTCAGGTCCATTAACACCCCATTTAACACACAACAAATCCTCCTATAAAAAACTGGCAGGTACTTTGCAACAAACACACGGTTTTACAACACACAATACATTCCTCACGTTTTCTTGAGCTAAAAACACTTCCAGCTACTCCGAAAATTCCCAAGTGTTCTGATATTGTTCCAGTTCGCCGAGACTTTCGTTTGTGTGCTCAAACGATCGCTCGTTAGCCATCGTATCCTGGGAAACGGTCGTTGCAACGCTCCTAGCACCGTGGGAGGTGACGAATACGTTTTAAGAACATCGTGCGTAACACGAGCTTTAGCTAAAATCTACTCCATCATATTTTCTGTTTTCTTTTAGCTATTTTATTTATTAATTAATTTTATTTAATTAATATTTCTTCGTTTTTTCCGAAACACACCCAACACCTTCTTCTATCTTTTAATTTCCTAAACGATGAAAGAATCCCACTTCTGTGGGTCAGTCCAACTCAAATTTCAATTCCATAATCAATTAAAAAACAAAGGTAGTTGAGCTTTAGTTCTCTAGGATGGAGAAGCTGGGGCTTCGTGAATTGGCTCAAATTGGAGAAGCTCTAGGATCGAAAGTGGATGCTGAAAATTGGAGGTGGATTT